CCAGCAGCTCTCCCCATGGCTCCCCCCCCCCTCCACGTCCCTCCCACCATGCTCCTCACGGTGCTGAGCCAGAATTGCTCCTGGAGGGGAGGGACCCTGAGGGGAGACAGTACCCACTCACCGCCCAGCGCTTGCTTCATGACGAAGTCCATGGTGCCGGTGTGTGCGTGCGGCTAGGCCACTGCCCAGTGCTCATCCACTGCCGTCCGGGCTCGCCAACCAGGGCCACCTGCGCGGGCAGAGAGGGATGTGGTTGGGGACACAGTGCCCAGGATCCCCACTGCCCAGGTACAAGGAATGGCACGGTCCCTTTGGCTGCAGGATGCACCCTCTGCATCTCCAGCCCCAAGCGCCTTCCAGGATGGGCAGAGGGTGGGCAGATCTGCCTGCTGCCAGCGCCTCCTCCCCTCGGCACCCTCCCCACATCCCCACTGGCCTTAGGGACCTGCAGAGGGACTTTTCACCCCAGCACTGCCCTCAGTGGGGCAGGAGGAACCCTGGGGTGCTGCCTGGGGGCTGGCGGGATGGGGACCCACCATGCCACCATCCACCACGTGCCCCTGCTTTGGTGGAGGGGGACAGACCCTGCCTGGGGATGCCAGTGCGGCACAGCCAGACATGGGGTGCGCTCTGAGTGTGTGTGTGTGTGTGTAGGTGTGACAATGCATGTGCTCTGCAGAGGGATGGAGAAGAGGCTGCCGGCAGGTTACGACAGTGTTTGGGGGCTGTAGGGGTTGTAGGCAGCAGCCTGTGACAGTGTGTGTGATCCCTGCGGGGTGCTGGGGATGGTGATGGCACGCAGGGGCACTGCGTGTACAGAATGGACTGTGTGTGTGCACCCCGTGTGTGTGGCTGGCTGCGTTTGCATGCACTGTGCGTGTGTGCAAGCTGTACGTGCAGGCTGTGTTTGGTCAAGAGGTGTGTTTGCAGGTACCTGCAGGCTGTGTTTGTGCAGGGGGTGTGTGCACGCGCACGTGTGTAAGTTTGTGGGGCTGCGTGTGCCCACACGGTGTGCGGGTTTGCAGCCTGTCTGCAAGCTTTGTGTGTGTGCGCGCGTGAGTTTCGGGGTTTGCAAGCTCTGCGGATGTGTGTGCAAGGGCTTGCACG